TAATATTTGGTAGGGCTCCATGTTGTCCTCTCCTGCTGGAAGTGGTATATTACCATCAGTCGCATCAAGGCCAGGCCTCGATAGTCCTACTCCATCGTTTCGACCATTCGACCGCCGGTTCTCCTCGCGTCTTTCCATATCATCCCTAAATGTTCCTCGCTCCAGCTCGCCTGGTTTCATGAGACCACATTCGCGGCAGGTTTCAATTAATAGCCAGATGCTACAAGATGCAGGAGACACAGATACACCGTCTCCACCTTGGGAGGTTGTGCGGTGGACAAAATTGAAGAAACTTAGCGGGCAAGCATTTTCTGAAGTTGGCAAGCGTAATTTTGGTACAACAACATGTATAGCAGTTTCTGCATCTATAGTGCTAGGCACATCGAAAGGAATAATTTTAATTTTTGACTACCATCAAAATCTCAAATCTATAATTGGACCGGGTACAAAGGGTAAGCATCCAAGATTCAATATTTGTGTTCTGGCTCTTTAACTGACCACCATAGCTGTTGAATCTGGCGCCGTAACATCTATTGCCATATCTGCTGATCACCTTGTGGTTGCTGGTGGTCATGCCAATGGTAGTATTTTCACGTGGGAAACCGCAAGACCAGCTCGCCCATTTCTCCATATTCCATCACTCGAACCCTTCCAATTAGCGAACCGCAGTGCCGATGGCCATGCTCCAAACATTGCGATTCGACATCTAGGATTCTTGGGCACTAGACATACGGCACTTGTGTCAGCAGATGATCGTGGAATGGCCTTTACGCATCTTGCAACAAGAGGAATGGGTGCTGTTGGACGAACGGTCCGAACCACTAGGATACTCGGCCGATATCCAAATGATATTGGCACTTCCGGGAAGCCTCGAAAACCAAGCACGGTCTTGGCCTTCTCACCTCTCCCGCTTGGGAATGTAGAAAAAGGAACTGATACTCTAGGTTTGACTGCCATGTTGACCCCTTATCTACTCGTAATTGTATCCACAACTCCAATCGCCCAAACTCAACATAAAGCTGCTCGACCAAAAGAGGTCGCTGCCCACAGCGCTATGAGTGGTTGCCTCGCATGGTTTCCTGCAGTGAAACTGAAGGTTCCAGATCCTGATGATGGCAGCCAGAGTTCTAAAGTCAAGCTGGTATATTGTTGGTCCAATATTTTGACTGTGCTGGATGTGGAAGAGACACCAGCTGACAACAAAGATAAACCCCCAAGTCTATCCTTTAAACCTCGTAGTCGCTGGAGGGCGGAAGAAGCTATTGTTGCCGTTCAGTGGCTTAGTCGATCCGTTCTCACAGTATTGACGATTACACAACGCCTAATAATTTTGGAAGACGTAAGTATGCGAATGACTGAAGCATTCGATTTAGTACACAAACATATCTTTCACCAGGATTTATTTTCCGAACAACTGCATACCTTGGTGGAGCAATTGGACGAAGAAGACCCATCTATGCATGGTGTTGTTGCAGATGCATTTTATATGAGCTTCAAAGCTTACAAGAGTCGAATGTTTCTCCTTGGCTTCAATGATGTATCAATAGGAACACTATCGAATTGGGCAGACCGACTAATCGCATTGATGGAAGATGGTGATTATATTGGTGCCATTCAATTGGCGACATCTTATTATACTGGTGATGCAGATAAGTTGACCATTGGGCTACCGGAGGATACTACATTACGACATTCTATGGTACAAGACAAATTGGTCGAGATTATGACTGCTTCTCTCAAATTCGCTTTCGGTCAGCGACAAAGATACCCAGCTGCTACAGATGACCACCTCAAGCAATTGGCTGAAGCTTGCTTCGAAGCATCTCTTAGTATCAACGATATTGATTTCCTCTTCGATGAGGCCTTTGAATGGTACGAGGATGGAGGTTCGGAAGGTATTTTCCTTGAGGTTTTAGAACAGTACATATTGGAGCAACGTCTTACCTCAATACCACCTACTGTGGTTAAATCCATGGTTTCATACTTCGTTAGCAAAGGCTTCGAAAGCCGCTTGGAAGAGATGATATGCCAAATGGAGACGGCAACATTAGATATCGATGAGGTCACTACCCTCTGCAAACAGCACAATCTTTACGATGCCCTTATTTACGTCTGGAACCAAGCATTGCACGATTACATAACTCCTCTCATTGATCTTCTCACATTATTGGTTCCCCTGGTTCAAAATGGGGAATATTTCCACGATGGGAACGTGATGGAAGATCCCATATTTGGTGTTAATGCATTGAAAATGTTTCCATACATGTCATATACGTTTACAGGCCGAGTTTATCCTACCGGGGATCAACTTGAGGATCAAGAAGCTATGAATGCTAAAGCTGAACTTTACTGGTTTCTCTTCTCGGGAAAAACAATTTCTTGGCCAAAAGGAAATACTAAACCATTCTTAACAAAGCCGAACGAAGATATCGAACCTTCTTTTCCTTACTTAAGAATGGTTCTCAAATTTGACGCACCGAGCTTCCTCAGTGCTTTGAACGAGGCATTCGAGGACTCTTTTCTTAATGATACGCCAGATCGTGCTGTCAATGGTGGCTCAAATCGTGATATGTCGGAGGAGCATGTATTTGGCCTTTCCGTTAACAGACAATATATCGTCACGATACTCCTAGAGGTCATGAATGCCAACGAATTTGCATCAGAAGATACTATTTATTTGGACATGTTCATCGCTCGGAACTTACCGAAGTTTCCTCAGTATTTATTGCTTTCTGGGACATCTCTGCACAAAGTCTTGACAGGCTTGTGTAATTATCCTGGTGAGGATCTCGCAGATGATGCTCAACTCAGTGCAGAATACCTACTTTCAGTATACCATCCGACTGATCTAGTATCATTAATGCCTTTATTTCAAAAGGCAGGTTTTTACCGAGTTCTGAAAAGCATATACAAATCAGACAAACAATATAGCCAACTCGTTCAGGCATACTTTGATGATCCCGAGGATCGAGAAAAAATATTTGATTGTATCGCTGACTGCCTGAGACCTCGTTCTGGATTAACCAAGCGACAAGTTCGAGAGGTACATGAAGTTATTCAGAAGCATGCAAGTGATCTGGTCGGGCTCGATGCTAAAAAGGCTGCCTTGACAATCCAGAACTATGTTCCTACTCTCCACGAAAAGATGTTGGCCTCCCTTCCCGAACTTTCCGAGGTACAGTATATCTATTTGCACAGCATTATGGAAACAGCAACTGGACAAGAAGAGAGCCCCAAACGCTCACCCCCTGGTGAATTCACCGAGCAATATGTTCAGCTTATGTGTAAATATGACGCTCAACATGTGGTGGATTACGTTGAATTGGTGCAATCATCTGATCTCAGACTCGAGAAAGTCTTGCCTTTCATGGAAGAGAGTGGCGTTGTCGATGCTGCTGTGGTTTTGATGGCTCGCGAAGGTCAAATTAGAGCTGGTATGGATCGACTGATAGAACATCTAAGGATATTAGAGGCTACTCTGACGGGTATTATTTTCGCATCGGCTGACGCCAAGGGATCCATGAATACAAGCGAAGCCGTGGAAAATGCTCTCACTGCGCTTCAAAAATATATCAATGTGGGAATTTGGTTATGTCAAAGCCAAACGTCGACGCAGTCAACCCATGTAAACGGAACTCCTAGTAAAGGAAAGTCTTCCGGAAAATCTGAACTTCTTCCCGAAGAGGTGCTGTGGTTAGATCTTATAGATATTGCGGTACAAATTACCCGCACACTGTCTCCAGGCCTGGAGGACGCAAAAGCATCAACGTCAGATGAAATGGATCGTGAGAAGTTCACCACTCAACTCCGTACTCTTGTCCAGCGAACTTTTACAGCTCTTCTAACCTCGACATCAACACCAACATCCTTCGGCGAAAACTTATCTTTCTTGCGTATTTTACGAGCATTCTTAACGAAGGCATCAATTTCGTCTCCAAACCTCAGTGATCTGCGCGCCGTACTTGCTTCAGTATTCTCAGCATATGCTTACGAGGAGAGTATTCTGAGCTTAGCGAATAGATTACTCGACAAAGATCTCTTCGTTAATGTGCAGTCTGTTTCCAATCTTCGTCAAAGAGGATGGAGACCACGAGGCTCCACTTGTGAGGGCTGTGGTCGAAGAGCATGGGGGCCTGGTGTTTCGGGTGATGTATTTTCTCAGTGGGAAGAAAGAAAAGAGCTGGAAGAACAGGAGCGACAGAAAAGACGTTCTTTTTTGAGTGGAGGTGCTCCTGAACGAGGAAAGGGGGTAGCTCCAGCTAGGAGTGATAGTTTACCAAAGTTTGACGATGATGGTAGTGGACACAGGAATGGCAAAGGTAAAGGAAAGAGCATGGATGAAGAATCGGCAGCAGGGCCTCTAGATGAATTGAATGGTCAACGGGGTGGCAATGATGATAATGATGACAAGGGCCAGCAGGAGTTAGGACCACTAGTGGTGTTTGCTTGTAGACATATTTATCATCGGGCTTGCTTGGAGGCAATACAAATCGACGATAATGCGACAAGGCATGGGATTCATGATGGAAGGGAATTCAGGTGTCCTATAGACGGGTAGTAATAGGAATATAGTAATGGTATTTGTCGTGGAATATTTTAGTTGATTCGCATATCCTTCTCAGATCTTAGTTTTGCCTGTGAGGTCCACAATTTCATCGCAACAAAGTTTTCCCATACCAACGCCGTATCATGAATCCGTAGAGTAAAAATTTTCATGAAGCAAACCGTTATTGATGCGAAGCTCTTTGACTTCTCTCAACTTAAAAATATTCAAGCATTTTGCTTCGTGCTCTCCACAGCAGTACGGAAACATCCAAATTTTCCGGACCAGCCACACTTTTACATTTCCAGCCACGCTGCGACTAGCACATCGGTACCTGGAGCTAATTTAGATGACTAATCTAGAAGAAACGAATCATGTCCTTGATATTGATAGAGAGGATGATCACTGAGGTATTTTTGTATGGAAATTAGCAGGTGAGACCATAAACCGGAGGATCTTGGCCGTATTCCAAGCCACCAAATATATGTGATGTTGTTAGTATAAGGTTCTCGTTCGGACATCTTCGTGCTTGCGACGTATCCTACTTTTCTTGTCTCACATTTCCTACTTACTCTGAAGTCGTGATTTAAAAGCAACTCACGAGTCGCAATCAACATTGATAAAATAAAACCCCTAGATCTCAAACGAAGTCTTGGTGTTGAATACGCTTCTGTAACACCGCATGAAACTCGAAAGCCGGGTATTGAGATTACCGTGTAAAAGAGACCCAAGCACCGCCTCGTTGGATTTGGGTACTTCTGGAGTACTTCTCTGGAGTAGAAAGTCCTAAGTCTTGGTTTTGGTACTTTGTTTAAATTGATTCCTACAATCAAACGATAGCGAACGGACGGGAGATATTATTAAACGATACCATTTCATATTGTGATTTCGAGGACGACATAATTGGCTGTTGATCGAAAAATGGACGGCGACTTGTCAATAATTATGGAGCGGGCGGCCAACGAGACTACAATCGAATGTGATAGATATGGTCGTTGTTTTGAAGGTGATGATATTCCTTTTTGGCTCACCAAGGTTTGTTTGCTGGTTGAAATAGAAAGTTGGGCTATATACTAATGATGGTCAACAGACAGGACAAATAATCAGATGGTCAGTCTTCTGGGGGCTGTTCCTCATTTTCATGCTATGGATTATTGTCGGATATTGGCATGCGAAGAGAAGAATAGCAAAGGGCTTGAAACCGCTGGCATATCATAGGGTAAGAGGCCTTAACAGATTGTACGAAAGGACAATGCTAACAATGAATAGTGGATGTTAAACAGACGACAACGAGCACAATATGACCCAGCCTACCAGACCCCCAACGTATACTACAATCAATTTCCAGCGGCAGGGGGACAATATGGCATGCACCCTATGCCACCGCCAATGTATGATCCGAATGCGCCATTGCCACCCACATATCAACCACCTGCTGGAGCGACTAAAGTCGATCCGTCGCAATGGAGATCAGAACCAACAAGACGTCCAGCCGATGATGGTGGAGAGTCTGCTCCCGATTACGAGGCACCTCCTGGACCTCCTCCAACAAATCTCCAAACAAACAATACTGGCGCGAGCAATAATCCATTTCGAGGTTAATCGTAAAGGGATGTTTAATAAATGCTAGTGTTTGGGTATGGTTAATACGGCTGGTGAAGAGATTGAAATTGAAGAGGGATCAGCTTTCATGAGATATCATTGTGAATAAATGTACTATCCGGAATAGAACAATAGAAGATGCTGAAATTCAAAAAATATATTATTACCCATTACATAGTCTTACACACCACTAAGTGAAGCATTGGACACTATCCAAGGTCCATAGCATCAGGATCATCTTCTATAGCTTCCACACTCATATCTTCTACGTCAGTATCCCCTCCAATCATACTATTTGTATAGGCACGATCTTGTACAACTTCACCCACCGTTCCATCTGCCCCTCTCTCCTCCAGCCTTGCCTTCTCGTCCCACTTAGCTCTAGCCTTCTCCCTCGCCTCCAGAAATGCCTTCCGCACCAAATCTTGTTCCTCGGGCACACTGTGATTCCTCGGAATAGCTGTATCGTACAAGATGAGCTGATTATTCATACCGGCCAACTGCCCATCTTTATTAGCGAGGACGTGAGGTGGAATACGTGTTTCTCGCAAATGTTTGGATATGTCGGGGAGAAATATTAGCCGTCCATCATCGGAGGCGTCACTGTCTGATAGCTCATCGTCAAGATCATAGATGTAGACTTTGTGTTTGGAATCGTCTAGTTGCATTACATCATCTGCATCTTGCTGTCGTGCTCTTTTCGGTTTTATGGGTTTATGATCGCTGGTAGTAAATGTAGAGCTGGTGGTCGGTAGATCTGAGCTTAAGGTGGGTTGTTCAACTGGAACGTAGAGCTTCTGGCCATTGCGCTCTAGAGTATTGTTAGCCTGTGAACCTCATGCATTTGAATAGAGATAGAATAAATTATTGTAGGATATTTACCAAGATTAAGCAAGCTCATCCGTTTGGAGAGACGTTCATTGTCTTGTGTTTCTGCCTTCCTCTTCCTAATACCTGTCGCTTGATCCATCTTAACGACCCATCCCTCCCCTAATCACAAATCTTCTTTTCTGTTACTTAAAGTGTGCACGATAAAAGAAATCTCAATCTGTATGATCAGAAGAATAATTGTCAATTGAAAATCTTTCTTCTCTAGGGCAATTTATATTCTTATAGAATTGAGCGAATGAATGCGTTGCGTGGAAGATTGAATCTGAACGTCGCAAGAGTTCCAGGTCCACTGAGTCACTGCTCGAGAATATTCTACGAACCAGAGACGACGCGACTTTCTTTGTTCAACTCGCGCACCACCTTGATAAGTTCTCACAACACAACCTTGTATCGCAAATTTTCTGAGACGTCGAGAATTATGGCGAGCTCGCAAGATACCACTAAATGGATGGCCCCGGTGGTCAGGAAACAATTCTTAAGCTTCTTTGAGAAGAATGCTCATTCTGTTGGTAAGTGGCGGGGTAATTCTTTTTGGTGAAGGGGGGTTCTCTGGGGAATTTCAACCACGATTTTCCTCTGAACAGGACTACACTTCTTCTGCAGCCATGCGCCTGTCTGCGATTGTCTGAAACGTCTATTCAAGCCATTATTCTAACAAAATGCAGTACCATCGTCTTCTGTGGTCCCTCACAATGATCCCACTCTCCTCTTTACGAATGCTGGTATGAACCAGTTCAAGCCGATTTTCCTCGGCACAGTGGGCAAGACCGATGATATGGCACAATTAAAGAGAGCGGTGGATACACAGAAGGTAGATGACTGTGTTGCTGCTGTTATCGTAGGGCCGCGCTAACGGAGTTGTAGTGTATTCGAGCTGGAGGAAAACATAACGTAGGGCTATCTGTCTCCGGGCTGGAAAGTATATGATCTGATGGTTTATAGGATCTTGATGATGTCGGAAAAGATAGTTATCATCATGTAAGTTGACACTTTGATATGCTACATTTGAGCAGCTTTAACATGTGAGTCATAGACCTTCTTCGAGATGTTGGGAAATTGGTCGTTTGGCGACTACTTCAAGACAGATGCTATTGGAATGGCATGGGAGTTACTCACAAAGGTCTACGGGTTAGATCCAGATCGCTTATACGTCACATATTTCGAAGGAGATTCGGAGAATAATGTACCAGCGGACACAGAGGCCAAGAACTTATGGTTGAAGGCTGGAGTCAAGGAGGATCATATCTTGACAGGAAACATGAAAGATAATTTTTGGGAAATGGGAGAGACAGGACCATGTGGACCTTGTAGTGAAATCCATTACGACAGAATAGGGGGAGGACGCAATGCTGCTCACCTTGTTAATCAAGATGACCCTAACGTATTGGAGATCTGGAACATCGTATTTATTCAATTCGATCGCCAGAAGGATAGATCTCTGAAGACTCTACCAGCTAAGCATATTGATACTGGTATGGGTTACGAACGTTTAGTTTCGGTATTGCAAGATAAATCATCGAATTACGACACAGATGTGTTCTCGCCATTATTTGCCAAGATTCAAGAGGTCACAAACGCCAGACCTTATACCGACAAATACGGAAAGGATGATACTGATGGGATCGATACTGCTTATCGTGTTGTTGCTGACCATATTCGCTTACTTACTTTCGCTATTTCTGATGGGGGTGTTCCCAACAACGAGGGACGTGGTTATGTTGTACGCCGGGTCTTGAGAAGAGGATCTCGTTATGCTCGAAAATACTTCAATGCTGAAATTGGCAGCTTTTTCTCCAAGATCCTGCCAGCTCTTGTCGAACAAATGGGCGAGCAATTCCCCGAAATTGTGAAAAAGCAACAAGATGTGAAGGAAATCTTAGATGAAGAGGAAGAGGCTTTCGCTAGAACGCTAGATCGTGGTGAGAAGATGTTCGAGAAATATGCCGCTCAAGCCATCAAGACGAACACCAAGAAGCTTTCTGGTGCAGATGTATGGAGATTATATGACACCTTTGGTTTCCCAGAAGATTTGACCAAGATCATGGCGGAAGAGCGTGGTCTTGAAACAGATGAAGGAGAAATCGAGATTGCGAAAGAGAAGGCGAGGGAGGCCAGTAAATCTGTTAAGGAAGCTGCCCACACTTTCGCCAAATTGGATGTTCATCAAATTGCCGAGCTGGATAACATGGGTATTCCTCGACCCAATGATGATGCTAAGTTCTCGAAGGGCGATTCAACTGGCAAGATCCAACTCATTTACGATGGCAAGAGCTTCCTTAAGAGCACTGCGGATTTACCTAATGATAAACCATTTGGTATTCTATTAGATAAGACAAACTTCTACGCTGAACAGGGTGGGCAAGTTTTCGATACCGGGAAAATCATAATTGATGGTGTTGCGGAATTCAAGGTCCTTGATACTCAAGCATATGGTGGATACATTGTTCACAATGGTTACATGGACTATGGAGACTTCAAGGCTGGTGATGAAGTTATTTGCGAATACGACGAATTAAGGAGACAACCTATCCGCAATAACCATACCGGTACCCACATCCTCAATCATGCATTGAGGGAGCACTTGGGTGAAGATATCAACCAAAAGGGGTCACTTGTCGACCAAGAGAAATTGCGATTTGATTTCTCGCATAAAGCTCAAGTTACACTACCTGAACTCAAGAAGATTGAAGACTCTGCAAACTCTTATATAAAGCAAAATTGCAAGATCTACTCGAAAGACGTTGATCTTGATATCGCAAAGGGCATTGAAGGTGTACGTGCTGTCTTCGGCGAAACATACCCGAACCCCGTTCGAGTGGTCTCTGTTGGTGTTGAAGTTGACGTTCTGCTCGCCGAGCCCAAGAATCCAGAGTGGCGAAAGGTCAGTGTTGAATTCTGCGGTGGAACTCACGTCGACCAAACCGGCATTATCAAGGACCTCGTTATTGTCGAGGAAAGCGGTATTGCTAAAGGAATCCGAAGAATCATCGCTTATACTGGTGATGCCGCACATGAGGTGCAAAGAATTGCCTTGGAATTTGGCAAGCGTATCGCAGCTTTGGATGCTATGCCTCACGGCGTCGAGAAGGAACAAGAGGTCAAGGCAACACAAAATGACTTGAACCACCTCACTATCTCGGTACTTGCTAAAGAGGACCTAAAGAAGAAATTCACCAAGGTTCAGAAAGATGTCCTTGATGAACAAAAGAAGAAGCAAAAGGCCGAATCCAAAACTGCTTTGGATACTGTTACTGCCTATTTTGCTGATTCGAAGAACAAAGACAGCACCGCGTATATCGCACAATTGCCAATTTCTGCAAATTCCAAGGCTATTGCTGATGTCATGAACCATTTCAAGTCTAAGGCAAAGGATAAGACAGTTTATCTTTTTGGAGGTAGTGCTAGTGAAGGTGCTGTTGTGCATGGTGTATATGTTGGTACAGTAAGTGCAAAACGTCTTTTTTACCTCCAGAAGTCACTAACACTGCATAGGATGCTGCTTCCAAGGGTGTGAGTGCGGAGCAATGGGCCGTAGCAGTCTCAGAGGTTGTAGGAGGTCGATCCGGTGGAAAGGAGCCAACTCGTACTGGTCAAGGTACCAACCCTGATAAGATCGAGGATGCGGTTGCTGTCGCCGAGAAATGGTTTGCCGAGAAATTGAAGCTTTGAGAATTATACCCTGGCCCGAGAGGATTATCTTAGAGCAGAAGCTACTTTTTCAACGTTTAGACGTCAGTTTGACTTGCAGTGGCTTGTCTCAAGTAATTGCTGTATTTTGAGCACAAATCTCGATTAATTGATCGATTGCAAGGTGTGGGGAAGTCACTGGGTTCGATTTCAATCCACCCGTTGATCGTGACACTCCTTAGGCTATGTGATTTCTGTGATTTTTGTGATTTCTGTTTCAATATGAGCAGCTGTTATTTGATTTCATGTTATTTGTCATTCAGCTTCGTTTCGTTCCAAGTCATAAGAGCATTTGGCTTGCTTCTTTTCAATACCCATGTCAAGTATCGAGAATTTTCAGGTATTGATCTAGGACATAGTAAGGGTGGTTATATAAAATCCTCAACCTCAAACCCAAAAAGAGAAAGTCAAGTAGGCGTCCAAACATGCCTTCCAATTTCGTATTTAGAGGAATTGCTCTAAACCAGCTTCCGCCAATTCTATACAGCTAGTCTAGTCAATATAAACACTTCTGTTTTTTCGAGACATCCTCACCCTCATTAATCCATATACATTTAACTATTTGTTTGCTTATCACTTTGTAGTGTTTGCAACTCGCAATCATGCACGGTCAAAATAGTAACTCTTACGACGAATATGGCAATACTCAAACCAACTACACAGGCTTTTCACCAAGCTATATACCGCCAAATAATCCACCTTCTCACACTAGTCACTCAGATTCCCCATCACAACAACCATCACAGCCCCAGTTGCTAGAACCCTTTCAGCAACAGCAACCTCTTGAGGAATGTCAGGAAAGTTTTGGTCAGCACAATTCTTTTGAACGTCGACAGCTCCATCAGCCGCAAACATTTATCCAACAACAAGCCCCGTCTCAATACCTAATGCCACAACCATCGTCAAAGCCCCTTCCATATTCATTGCCTTCAACCCAGTCGTCTCAAGTCCAATCGATGCCCCAATCGCAGCCATTTTCTCAATTGCAAGATCCCATTGGTCTCGATGTCATGAATTTCTTCGAGGCTCAATCTCAATCCTCAGTACAAAGTCATCCACAGATGCCCATGGATTTCTCCTCGGACTCATTGCAAAACTTTGAGATGTTGGCCATGTATGAAGTCGAAAATCGTCGACAAGATATTGTGCCAAACTTATCTGGAGCCCAGGCTTCGCTCCAGAATGATGCGTCGGGTCAAGACACATATCGGTTGTCTAGATCACACTTAGGCAGTACCGACACTATAGAAATTGGCAGGATAAGAGATTTGGTATCTGCTTTCCGAGATCGTCTTCTTTCACGCAGCTACTTCGTTTTTCGTTGGAGCAGAGACCTGGAACGTACTCTCTCAACTCTTATTTCGGAAGCTCTCGATGACGTGCATACTGCCATCAGCCAAATGTGGCCCACGTTTTCTGAGTCTAACATCAAACAGGCACATTCGCTGTTGATTAAATTACAAAACCAAAATCCTTCGCTGGCCAAGAGACCGTTTGAGAATCTTCTCAAGAATCGACTCACCCGGCTTCTTCCATATCTGGGCTGCGACTTGCATCTAGTTTGTAGTATTTTGCGAAGACCTGATGTTCATATACAACAAAAGAGTATCCGGAATCGCAGATAGTATTGGTATCCAACCTTTATTGAACCACATCTACTCTACCGGAAAGAAAGTGATACTTATGTCTAGAGGCAGAGGCACCAACAGTGATAGGGTTTTCAAAGGCTATTTCTATTTCCAGGTAGAAACAGAGGAGATGAATCAAGGCCACGCCCCTCTAAAAATTCCGATATATATATATGGTATCTCAGAAGATTGGGGTTCAGGAGATCAAGGGAAAGTACAAGAATTTTGGACAAGCTTCTAAGGGCAATGACGATCAAATGTTGAGAACAGTGATGGAAGACTTGTTGTACAAGGCAAATGATATGGTTCTTATAAGAAACAATGGATATGGTACTGAACCTACAACACTGGATGGTATCTTGCTAGTAGATATCCAGACACGTAAGAAAAAACCGTCAGTCTCGTGTTCCACACTTCAGACGCAATACAAAGTCGATTCACATACAACCCTGACAAACATTTTGACAGGCGAATTAGTAGAAGACGTCCTTTGGAAATATCATCTTGGAATTTGATTGTATAGTCTTAAGCTTGACAGTCTTAAAGTTGATACATCCATAGGAAGACCTGAACTTCATTGTTAAATAAATTGCTCCCTAATTTGTGTCAACTACCAAAGTGGAGATGAATTCCTCATCAGTGTGTATTTGTTGTGATTGCCATAAAGCGCCACAAACACCCAACAGATATAATTTCAAGGCACAGTCACAAGTAACATCCAAGTGTCTAGATTTCGAGGTTGTGTAGAATGAGTTCTCAATCTGAATTTGTCCGATACATCAGATGAGGTCTGGTTCACCAACAGTCAAGGGACGGCAGAGTACGTAAGTAAGTCTTCGGGTGAAAAGTAAATTTTTGGCCTAACCGGTAAGATTCCTCCCCAACCTTATTTTCGAAGACTCAAACTCGGTGTCAAGTTCAAGTGCGAAGATCCAAACGTGTATTGGATGTCAAGAAACGCCAGAAGCATGTATGAAAACCAAATAAGCTATTGGTTGTTAGATCCTTTCCAAGAATGTCCTCTTAATATCCCTCCAACCACACATACATTAAAGATCCATTCTCCTTTTCCTTTCCCTGGAACAACTCGTCTTATCCCTTGAGCTGCTCGAATTCGTCCTCGTCCTACATCTTCCCCTCTCCACATCCTCGTCTCCTGAAATGCACCGCTCACAACGACCGTCGCTATAACTTCCAAACCCAGGACCGGATTCCTCACCACCGTGTCTTTTTTGCATTCCTCCACTTCCACAGTGGCATTTTCTACTGTTGCCAATAATGTCCGATCTTTCCGAGCCGGTTGAGCCAGCACGATCCCGAGATTCGGGACGCCAATCTGATGGTGCGGATGTGGGTGTGAAGTTTCGTGATTGATGTAGTGATGACGACGAGGATGTTTCATTTCCGTTCATGATGAGTTGGTTTAGAGAAAAGGGATTGAAATTTGGACTTGAGGATTCAGAGTTTGAGAGAGACATTGCGGTGGGTGAGTTGAAAGGGGTGTCTGGGACGTTGTCTGGAGAGTGAGATACGTCTAGACGGGTATAATCGCGGTGTTGTTTATTGGTAGGATCGAGATACGGGTTGTGCTTTGGAGGGAAATTCATGATTTTTATGATCTTGGAGAGAGTGCTTTTGGAGTTTTTAGGTAATGGAGGAAAAGAAATATTCAAAAAATTGTTTCGAGTTTCGAGGAGCAGTAGTTGGTATTAGATATATTATTTGGGTTCTTGTTTTGTTCTTATATTAGAACCGTTTGACTATGTGCATGAGATGGGATGGAAACTATGAGCGAGTGGTGCGACAACATCGCGCAAAAACGGGGATCTAGACATGGCATTGATCTTCTTGTTTATTGCTGATCGAATTTGGTGTTTCGATGTGATTGGAATTTCGAAAATCAGGGCATCATTCGCAGGGATATCATTGTCTGGGGTGAGCATAATGTATAGGGCTGTGCAAGCTCGGTTTTGATTCTTGTCTCCACGCTGTATCCACAATTAACACGCGTAAATGGACCATGTGGGGAGATTGAGAAGATTTATAGAGATCGCATGGAAGATCGAGGGGAAGTGAATGAGTTGGAATGTATGGACTGCTGAATTCTAGAAGGGCTAGAATTGGGCATTGGCATTGAAAGTTACTCCTTTGAATTAGGTATGATGGTACAGAATACGAGGTTGAGAAAAATAACTTTCATCTTCCCGCTTTCCTCTTGGCCGAGTAAGTCAGTCTATCGACCGGCTTTCTCGGAAAAGACATAAGAATTGAGTTTTCATGTATGTATTTCATAAAATGAAGATACTTTTTCAAGTAAAACAAAAGTAATCGAGATCAAAGTTCATCTTACTATATGCAGACAACACGTGCTATTAAAAGAGTACGGCTGAGATGCCCCTTTTCCCTCTCGGTACTTGTAATTTCAGCCAAAATAGACAAGATCCCGCTATCTTCAATAAATATCACTAGCACGAGTTTAGAGTGAGCAACTAGTAACGCCCTTGTGTCATTCTTTTCCTCTCTTTTCTTAGTCGCGTTCCATTTGCTCAAGCTCTCGCGCATGTTAAGAAAAAAGTCGGCTGACCAGCCCCACGCCCATGCACCCCAGGAATTGACTGTCTTTCATTGAAGAAATGAAAGGAAATGCAAAAAATGATGAACAGAGGGGGATTCGAACCCCCGCGGGCTAAGCCCATGAGAATGCTAATTGATTGAATCAATTAAGCTGTTGAGCTTGAGTCACACGCCATAACCACTCGGCCATCTGTCCTATTTGCTTGTAGAAGTGGGGTGTTTTTGAATATATGAAGTATTTGTGATTGGACAATTCAGACAAACATCTTCTGGTGCTCTCCAAGCCATAGAACTTCAAATGAAGGTCCCATCATGCAATGATATGAGCCGTGAATAGTGTGTGGAATCGCGCTCAAAATCCCTCCTCTTCCACGACTGCCAAGCACTTATAAACTACAGAGGATAGAAGCAGAAGAATGTATGTATGACATGTAAGATTACATTATTTTCGAGCGACCGTCCAACCACAGCTTGCCAGCCTGTGAACTCTCGGCCATCTTCAATTAAAATTCGAGACTTCTCAGTGTGAATTGTCATCTTTTCTAGACCGATTTTCCTGAAGAGAAGGACATGTAGATTATCATTGAATACATATTAGAAATCATGTATTGTAAAGTTTAAGTTAAGGGGGTTTGACACTTGTCCCCAATTGTTAAAGTCAAAGTTACCCGTGGATAAGCCTTGGACAAGCCTTCGACATTGTTCCATCAGACTAAAGGTCTCCGAACTACTTTGGAAAAGATATAGAGTAGATTTGATATCTAGGGACCTAATCCTTTGACTTAGCAATAAAAAGATCAATCTGATATTCACTTGTTAAACTTACCCAGTATATTCCTTATTAATATTGGTTCACGGGAAGGGATTGAAGTCGAAGAGATAACTAGATTTAATAAAATAATATTCATAATCACCGATGATTCTTGCAAAATAAACGGTCAAGCCTGACAGCATCAAAGCGAACACCCCTAAATAATGACATCTTCAGGGTCGGCCGCACAGTCTTCGTACACCAACATATATTCGATTGGTAATATTTTCACATAATTCTATCCACACTTTCAATCTCTTCGGACCAAGCACTTTCTAAATTTCTGCAGCTTGGATCTACTAGATGAAAGTGCTTTAGTGATCGCCTCCAAAAGCGTCATGTTCGGAGACTATCAAAACCAGCAGGCAATAGCTATCCCACCAAATTCAACGTACCCCTCAGCGTTATCGATTCCCCCTACTGTCCCACCTAGCAACCCCGATGATGTTCGGCGGCCATCAACATCGGCTCCTACTGCAGTTCCTACTGGACTCAATGCGCGGTCATGTGTTACATGTCGCAGGCGAAAGGTCAAATGCGACAAAAAGGTGCCTTGCTCGAATTGTACCAAGGCGCAATCACCATGCGTATTTCCAGCACCGGGTAGAGCGCCTAGGCGCCCCAGGGCCGGAGGAAAGCCTATTAGTGATCGGGAAGCGGAGCTTCTAAAAAGACTGAGAAGGTTGGAAGGAGTGGTGGAAGAACTCAGCGGACAAGTGGATGCGGAAAATTCGAAGGCTTCCCCATCAAGCAGCCATTCCTCCCCGCACAACAATGTTGAATCGAGCAGCGAGTCTCCTGGTGGAACTGCGAAAACTACAACGAACGGGTTGAATGGAAGGGACGAAGAAAAGGGCACAAAACGACAATGGGCCACGAGATCTTTCAATATGGGACTTGCAGCTCCGAAATCTGCATTTACTATGGAAGAAGGAATAGGACGCCTGGTATTAGATTCCGGAAAGAGTCAATACGTATCAAATCCGTTCTGGGCAGAATTATCGCAAGAGATAGCAGAGCTTCGGGCCATGTTCGATGAGGATGAGGAGGATACCGATGGAGATTCTCCGATCCCAGCTCCATCTTCCGCCACCCAACCAGATCATCAGAGTTTTGTGATGGGTTATAGCTCTGCCGATGTCAATATGAAGGCTTTACATCCTTTACCTTCTCAAATACCTTTCTACTGGTCAACATTTCTGGAGAATGTGATGCCATTGGTCAAGCTTCTCCATGTGCCTACGACAGGGAAAATCATCAAAGAAGTTCAACACAATCTAGACAATATAAGCAAGAGCACAGAAGCCTTGATGTTCTCTATATATTTTGCAACTATCACTTCTATGTCAGATGAAGAGGTTTGTATCTCTAATTCGCTCCTACATGCTTTATTTCTACGAAGCTATGACTGACGTTTTTAAGGTTGCTACCAACTTTGGAGTCGAGAAAGATGCCTTACTAAGAAAGTACCGATTTGGTACCGAGCAAGCTCTTGCCAGGGCAGGCTTCCTCAATACAAACGAAATTATGACTGTTCAAGCATTCGTGTTATTCTTGACTTGCGTTCGTAGACATGACGATACTCGATTTGTATGGTCTTTAACTGGACTCGTTATGAGAATTGGCCAATCGCTTGGTGAGTTTTTGTGTAAGTGATTCTCAAGCTAAATATCTAACAAGCTCAGGATTGCATCGTGACGGCGAGAAGTTTGGGTTATCCCCATATAATACGGAAATGAGGAGACGGCTTTGGTGGCAAATCTGTGTCCTGGACGTGAGGGCATCCGAGGACCATGGATCTGACCCTTCGATATTTGAACATATATTTGATACCAAATTCCCACTTTCGATAAACGATGAAGATCTAGATCCAGACGCAAAGGAACCACCACAACCCCGAGAAGGAGTTTCGGATATGACATTCGTTCTTGTAAGGTTTGAGATATGTGCTTTATCAAAACGCCTTCAATACACTCCACCAGGTCGTGGTCCTTCTCCCTCAGGAAATCTAACAAAACTTACACTCGAAGAGAAGGAAGAATTGATCAAAGAGACTGCGGCTCGAATGGAAGAAAAATATCTCAAATACTGTGAGAATAATGCAGGCCCTCTCTATGTAAGCAAAATCTT